CACACACACACACACACAACATGTAGCCTATTTAGCAAGGTTGGGCTATGGTGCAAAACTTTCCCACTAGACACCAAAGCTTTTAAACAGAACTTATACCATGTGAGTGCTGCGGGTGGGTTTATTTATGCTGTGTAAGATATTGTGCAGTCATATGAAATCCCATATTACCACTTCCACTGCAGATACAGAGGGGCAATTATTTTGCAGGCTTAAATCAGCCCAAAAAGCAGATCTGCTGTAGATTTATCCTGTTACTGAATCCTGATGTTCTGGGTCACAGTACTTCACAGTATTTAGGAGAGTAAAAAGTGTTGACGCTGCAACAGCATCTATGGAAATCCACATAGCTGCAGACCTGCTGACTCTGCACAATGTCCTCACTGTAACCCCGGTAATTTTTTTCACCTGTCCACACATAATTAATCATCAGTGCTGTTTCCCCTACTAATGTGCATAATATCGATTAAATCAGCACAGTGATGTTCATTTTTTAACACCCCTGTGTTACACACTCTCCACCGGATCCAATAGCAGCACCTTCTTTAAACAGGCACTTTCAGCACATGCTGATTAGTGAGCTTCGTGAGCTTAAAGGTTAATAAAGTGTTCCACGACATCAAGGCTCAGGCACAAATATATCTTACATGAGTTTTAGCACTTGGACAACTTTGCTATAGATTCATTTATCTAACCAGAGCTGTGTAACACTTACAACAATAGCAGCATCACATGCAGGACGACCTGAATGATGAGCATACCGAAAAATTCTTGCAAACTGATTACCCACATTGTTGTTTAACATAAACATTACTCTGCAAATCAAGTAGAGTGGAGGTTCCCCATTTCATTTATGACTCTTTTCCCACACAGAATTGTATATTTATCATATCACTGACTGTGCATGCAACACAAAACTGCTGGTACACTCATTAAATGCTGAGTATAAGTAAACAGACAATGATGAAGAAAGAGACAGAAAGAAAAAGAGGTCCTTACTGTTGAAGACCATATTGTTGTCTTTGAAGTCCTTCCACTGCTGGTACCATTTTGAGTCTTTGTGGAGCACCACACCCATAGCTTCCCTGAAGAACACACACAATAAAGCTTCAAACAGTGGGCCGAGGGAAACAGGTGTCTGTGTTGCTGCACTCATTCTGACCATCACATTTAACCATATTGACCAAGGGAGGAAGACATTGCTGTATTCACAGCAAGAACAGTATAGGAACACTATCAACATTCAGCCTTGAGAATTGTAACTAAGACCCAGACACAACACACCAGCATCAAAGAGCTAGTGGCAACAAAGGCTGACTGTTGCGCCGCCTCATGGCGCCTGTGTTTCAGCCAAAAAATTGCACTTGAACACAACACAAAGATTACAGCCAACGGCCAACTAGCCCATATGTTCTGCACCTGCATGAGAGGAAATAACTCTTCATTGCAGCATTTGTCATTAAAAAAGGAAAGACCAACAGGATGGATTGTAGACACTTATTAGCTAGATGGCAAATCAACAACACAACCTGATGTTGAAAGAACAAATGATATTTACTGCACGCCAGCAACCAATGACATGAACAATTACTACCGTTTCTGCTAGAGCTCAATGGCTAAAAGAATAATCTTACATAATATAACAAGACTGTTTCAATCTCATGCTCACTTGACTTTAGTTGTTTGTTTGCTCTCCTCACTTTTGTTTCTCTTCTCTGAACTGAGCTGAACTGCCAGTCAGAGTGATACCGTCTCTAAGGCACATTTAACATGCTAAATTGTCCGGAAAAAGCAGACAAGGCAAACTAGTGCCAATGGTGTGGGACACACAGCAAAAACTAGGGAAACAGACGCTCAATGACAGCTCGACCTCGACTGACGGTGTGTCAGGGCTCAATAGTGTCCCTAATAGTAGTTCAGAAAGAGAGTGTCTTGGTACCTGACCAGATGTGATTCTAAGCTTTTCAGCTTTAAGTTGGTTTCACTTCCTGCATTTTTAATAATAATGTATGGAGCCATATAAGTGTTATCAGCTGTCTCTCTGAACCCGAGAGGCTTCCCCATCTCAGTATCGGGGCAAAGCAGAGGGCACTCACGTACTCGTTGGCTTCGAAGACCTTGCTGCCATCCCCTGCCCCCTTGGAGGAGAACTCACTCCTCTTCCTGAGTGTGGCCGGAGGCCGATAAGGGCCAGTGTGACCCAGGTCACCGATCTCTTTCTTCACACTCTCCATGCCCTGAAAACAGAAGAAAGGATTGGGTTTCAATGATCATGCATTTTCATTATTCAAGAGACACATAAACCAGTAACTGCAGGTTGACTTTCAGTAAACGAGGAAATATATCTGCACCATAACCACCATAACCACAGTGACTTCATACCTGTGATATTGCTCTGAACGCACCCGTCTTCCCCAGCATCTCTCCACCTTTAGAGACGGACTCTGCTGAGGTCTTTGCTGTTTTGGCTGCTTCCTCCATTCCATCCTTGATTTTCTTCCCAATTTCTGAACGACTGACCTCCTCTAGGCCCTGTACACACACAGAGTGACCCATTGTTAGAGTGGATCGATCAGATTAGATTGGATATCTATTATATGACATCTGATTGAGATACTGAGCACATTTACCTCTTTAACTGTCTCAGAGAGGTGTTCCAACTTCTTCTTGAGAACATCGGAGGTCTTCACTGTTTCAGACTCTATAGTTTTCTGAGAAATAGACAGCGTATTGGTAAACCTAATGCTAGTTTTTCATTACAAAATGGATAGAAGCTGTGTTTTTGTGCGTGTGGCCAAATACTCACATATTTCCTTCGAGCTTGTTTTAATGCATCTGACTCCTCCAGTTTTTTGGCCTCTTCTCGGAACTTCTTGATGTTTTCTTTCATCTCCTTGTTCTTGTTCAGCTCCTGCTTGATGTTGTCCAAAAGCTCCCCCATGAAACCTTTCCTGCCTCCGCCTCTCTCCCCTGACAAGTGCCGTACCTGCAGAAGGGGTGACTGAAGCACCTTGTTGGTATGAATAAGAAAAAAAACATGCTGTTAATTTACTCCAAGCGTGTCTGGAACAGTTCAATTAAACCTAAGCGTATGACTTGCAGGGGATGTGTGCCCTACTACTCAAGATATCTTGATAAAATTACAGTATGAAACAAGCATAATAGCTTGCAAAGCCAGCAGCAGCACATGATAGATATGCACTATAGTACGGTTCATGCCAAGAGCTGATGTTTCTGCTAATGTGTGCTTCCTTCAGAGCTCTAAAAATGTCAATTCAGATGCCAGCTCATGGAATAAAGTCTATATCTGTCATTTGAAAGTGCTCTATATTTTTTTTTTTTTTACAAATTAATGCAGTCTAATACACGAATCCTGCAATAAATCCTGCTTTCCACTATTTTCGATACCACAGGGGAAAACTGGCATTGAGGGCATACAAGTTAAAATATTTATCAAAAGAGAATTATAATAATGCAAAGACATGACAACAATTACTTATTTTGTTGGTTAGTGGCAGAAAACAGCAGGAAAGTGCAGCAGGTACTGGTGTGCTGATGCTGCAGAAAGTGTACCAATGTACCAATTAATCTATATTTTTGACAACACTAAATGGCAGGTGTTTCTGTTTCTTTAATAACTTTAAGGGTAGGCCAAATAATAGGAAAAACCTCTCCATAGTCAAATCAACACCTCTTTAAAATAGTTTTAACAAAGACTGTACTTCATGAAGGAAGGATTTATTACATGACAGTTGTAGTAGACTGCATTAGTACTACCCAAGTGAACCCAATGCTGGCAACTGACTCTGATTATTCTGCTAGGTTACAACAACACTATCCAAAACCAAAAGTCATAAAAGCTTTTGGGGCTGAGAGTGTAACCCAACCTCACATCAGGAAACTCCTCCACAATGGCAGATAGTGACACATGGCCTGCAAAGAACAGAATATCCAGATGGAGATATGGAAGTAACTCAGCATATGTCAGGTGTTGGTACCTGTGGAGAGCAGGATAGGACCCCATGTATCCTGTAGACATTGGGTCTGTTGTGAAGTAGCAGGTAAGAGGAAGGGAATCTCACCAAGCCTCTTCTTACACACATCTGGAGACAGACACACGAAGTCACCCTCAAAACTTCAGTGGACTGCTCTGTAACCACGCTTAAGACAAAGCCTTTACAGTTGGTCATGTCATTAACAAACCACTTCCTGTACAAAACCTTGTAATATTTAACTGAAATGTCAGCGTTAAATGAGATTGGCATGTCATTAGTGTTGAAAGAAAAGCAGTAACAAAAGCCAATAAAGTAAGCGCGTTTATGATTTATAGACATATGCTTTGTTCAGTACAAGGCACGGAGGAAGTGTGAACATGCAGCTAGATGCCCAAAATGATATTTTACTTGGAAAAAGACTTCGACCTGCGCTTCAGAGTTCAAACACCGGCTCTAACGTTACAGCTGCACATTCAAAGAGCTAACTTAGCTAGCTAACGCTGTTAGCATTCACGTCACGGAAATAAATAGTCAAACACTACCCATCACTGATGGCACTGGTAGTTCAGAAATACATTCTAAGTTCTCCCCTGGTCGATTGGTGGTGTTTAAATGCTTTTATTTAACACGAAAGCTCCCAAACACTCACCTGGTAACACTGACACAAGGGGGTCGCCATCTTGAATGTATTGCTATGACCTTCTTCCGGTGGTGACCTTCCATATCCACGAGGGAAGGGCTCGCGAGCTCATTCATTACCTCTAAAGCATGTTTTCACCCTGTATATTTTACATATTTCGTTTTAAAAAAAAAATGTATTATTCAATCACGTGCAGTGCTCTGTGCCTTTACACTAGCATCATCCTGATCATTACTACAGGGTCATTAAATGTTAAGAACACGTGACTACTCTCGCACGTGAAAGATTTTAGTTGATGACCTTAAATGTTCATTGACAAGCCTACTTGAGAGGCAATGCAGTAACACAAAAAACCCAACAAAGCATTTCAAATACTGAGGTTTATTTATCAAAACACCTTATAGAATAAAGGCAATGACAGGTGAAGCATGACAGGGAAAAAAAAGAATTAAAAATTTGGTCTCTAAAAAATAAAGTAAAATTTAAAGCAAAAACTAAAACACGTTCACTGGGACAAATCACTAACTAAAATAACATTTTCACTGTTACAAATATCTACCAAACCTATTCATATAATATGAATATGCTGAAGAGCAAGTCAGATGATACAGAGCATTTGGACATCCGGGACTAAATGAAACGTGATATGTGCGCCCCCAGACTCATAATTTATGCATTCCTATCAATCCTAACGTCAATTTCTCTTCCGTTCAGCCGGTAGCCGTTCATGGTCCGGCAGACACGCTCAGCAGTTTCAGGGCTGTCGAAGCGAACCACGCCGCAGCCCTTGGACTTGCCGTTCTCCATCTTAATATCAGCATACTGAACCATGCCTGCAGAGGGAAGAGTATCAATGTTCAGTCATTTAAATGTAAAAATGCATACAATAATTTATCTTTTATGAACAAACTATGGATGCTTTTACCGCATGTGTTGAAGGTGTCCTTAAGCATCTTCCAGTTGAAGTCAAATGGCAGCTGAAAAACAAAAATGATTCAAAATTAATTAGAGAGAATGAGAGAAAAGATACTCAAATTAATTAAAGCCCAACTACACTGCAGATAAATACTTACATTTCTGACAAAGATCTGACATCCCTTCCTGATATTGCCTCCTCCAGTTCCAGCCCCTCCAGCTCCACCAAAGGAATTACCACCAAATCCACGATCCATGTCAGCAGAGCGATCAAACTGGCCACCAACACCTCCAGATCCCATCCGATCCATGCCAGAGCTCATGCGGTCAAGGCCACCGGCGGAGAAGCGGTCAAGTCCTCCGGCAGAGCCCATGCGGTCGAAGCTGCTGGCCATTCTGTCAAGCCCGGTGTTGCCCATGCGATCCATACCCATCGGGGAGCCAAAGTCCAGGCCAGAACCCATGCGATCCAAACCAGACGGGCCTAAGCGGTCAAACCCAGCTGGGCCAAGGCGGTCCATGCTGGAGCTCATACGGTCCAGGCCAGGTCCAAGCCTGTCCATACTGGGCCCCAGCCGGTCCATCCCTGAGCCCATCCGGTCGAACCCAGAACCCAGCCTGTCCAGGTCAGACCCGCGGTCCATCCTGTCCATGCCCATCCGATCCATCCCACCCATGCGGTCAATGCTGGCTCCCAGGCGGTCCATTCCGGAGCTCATTCGGTCCATACCCATGGAGTTTCCTATACAAGCAAATTAATAAAAGAAACAATAAATAAAAGGTTGCAGCAACTGTCTTAGAAAAGGCGAGCATTACAACAGATGAGGCCAATCACAGGGATTTCCAACAAAATCCTTAAAATACTAACCCATTCCTCTTTCAAAGGACTCTCCAAAACTATTGCGAGACATTCCCATTTCATTTCGCCCAAACTCCCTGTCAAAAGCACCACCAATCCCACGGTCCATCTCTGACAATGCAAGAGATGAAACCATTAGAAATAGCCAGCAAACGTGAGATTGTTCCACGCTTGCTTTGGAGTGTTTAATACATCTTAAAATCTCTCCTTACCGTTCATTCTGCCCATTCCTGAAGAGCCAAAACGATCCATGTTGTTCATTCCTCCGAAGTTGTCCATTCCTGGAACAAAAAGAAAAGTCTTAATGAGGGTGCAAACAGAACTAGATGGACAGGCTGGGTATGGATATCTCAGGCCTTTATGATGCAGGATCTGGGTTGTAAAATATAATTTATTACTTATACAAATAGAATTTTTGCTGCACTCCGACTGTTAAGCAATTTGTAACCAAGTTAAAAACTTGTCGCAAATGTTTCCCAGTAACAGTTTCAGGTACTTGAATTATACCATGAACTGTGGAAAGTGTCTCAAATGATTCAGCTACAGGAAGTGTTGTTGGCTCTAACAGTAAATGCAGAAGTTGGGGTAAATACTTAACCAACCAAGCTACTTAAAGACCTTCAGAACATACCTCCTCCGCTGCCACCACCGCCTCCCATACGACCTCCCATGTTGCCAAAGCCCATGCCATCCATTCCTACAAGTAACAAGAGTAATGATAAGCCCCAGTTTTTTTACAGGTGTCTTTAATTGAAGAGTTAAACAAAACATTTGAGCTGGTTACCTCCAGGGCCCATGTTGCCCATTCCTCCACCACCACCACCTCCTCTGTTGAGCTGGGTAGCATCAATGGGCTGACCACCAGGTCCAAGTCCCAAACCAATACCACTCAGGCCACCTGAGCAAAGAAAATGGTTACGGTATGAAAACAGTCTACATAGGAAATGTCTAAACAAAAAAAAAACAACAACAACAAAAAACTCATATCTACGTTATCAATACCGCAGGTATTTACTTTATTATGAGTGGCAAATGGTGTAACTGTTGCTACCTGGGTGTTTTCACTCTTCACCCAAAACAAATGTCACTGGTGTAGTTCTGCACCAAACTGAAGGAACTAAATTTACTTGCAGGATACTGAGATTATAACACTGACCGATCCTATACGTAATTCAATTGATTTTATACTCATTAATAGGGCATTTGTTATTTTTTATTGTTTTTACCCCAGTGAAAAAAAAACTACATGTATACTTACGGGGAAGAGCAGCAGACCTGTTGTCAGGTGGTCCAAAATCTTTGGGCAGGGATTTCTCATCCTGAAGAAAAGCCAAAAAATACATTTAGACAATGCACTGCAATCACTGTGTGATCCAATGTACAGTGAGGATCAATCAACTTACCAGTTTGACGTGCATGACTCTGTTGAACAACAGCTGCCCATTGAACATAGCTGTGAAATCATTAAGGAAAGTGTACAAGAGACATTTTGAATCAATGAGATTCTATTGAATTAACATTCTGTGGACACAAAACACAAAGGGATTCCCAATCAAACACTTTGAAAAGGATACAGACAGCCTGGACTGCTTCAATAGGCATATCAAATGTCACTGTGCCCATGCCTCTGCTTTTCCCATCCTTGTCCTCCAGAATGTCGGCCCTCACCACCATGCCCGCCATGCTGAATACCTCTTTCAGCTTCTTCCAGCCAACCTTGTAGTCAAGCTGTAGGCACAAGACACAATTTTAGGGGTGGTTACTTGTTCCATCTACAGGTTAAGGCAAAAAGACACGTCAGACTTAACTAAGGTTTCTTGCAAACAATAATACTGATTAAATTTACAGCTAAATGTTGAAACCATTATTCAGGAATGTTATTTTAATCAAATAAACCACCACTTCTTTAGTAGCTGCAATTTCTAAAATCTATTTTCTGCCTCTCTTCATATGACTTAATTCTATACTTTCTACGTACTTTTTTTTTGCAAAGTTAAACAATCAATGGGAAAACTCTGGAAGTCTCACATTAGCCACAAAGACAGTGCTGCCAATCCTGCCAGCCTGGAGACCATGGATGATCTCATTGGGGATGTTGGGGTTGTTCATCAGGCTAGGAGGAATATTGACCATGGGTCCAGTTGGTCCAGGGCCCATTCGATCCATGTTCATGCGATCCATTCCTCCCATCCCGCCGTGGCCTCCTGGAGGGCCTCCACCTTGACTCTTGTTCATTTCTCTTTGAGCAATCACACCATCAGGGTCCTGGGCAAAAAAGCATGAACACATGACTCAGAAAAACCAGCAACTCACATTTTACGGTCTTTGTCTTTCTGTTCATTTTTGCTGTGGCCTACCTCTTTCACTTTTAGGGGTCGTCCATTGAGGTTGTGCTTGTTGACCTTCTCCACTGCTTTCCTCATTAGCTCTTCGGTCCTAAACTCAACAACACTGACAGAGATATACAGTATATCCTGTGAGAGAGCTAAATAAACAAACTCAGATTTTTAACAACTACCCTCTCCAAACATCTGTCTTTAACATGGACACTGGTGCATGTGTTTTTGCTTGGTTAACATGAATAGGATAGCAACATTTCTATTTGGTTAATCTGAGAAGCACTGACACAAACAATTGAAAATTATAATAGATAAATAGAGACTACTTACGCACAACCCTTTGTTGATTGAAGACATCAGAACAGGCCGCACCAAAAGGAGTAAACAATAATTCAAATTAGTAAAAGCAATGGTTATAATAGAAGCTGAAATTGACACAAAATGCAAGTAAAATAAAGAATTTCATGCACAATCAAAAATTCATCACACAAGCCTACAGCCTTGGCCACAACTCTGTGCTTCCAAATAAAATTACAATTTTGACATCTCACATTTTTTTTCTCAGTCACTACCACAATGCAGACAAGTCTGGTGAATATTACGGCGTATTTTTCCCCAACATCCAAAAGGCAGAAAATCCAGGGAGATAGGATTCCCCGCAACTAAGATATTGGAGGTAACATTTCCAGTGAAGCAGTTCTACGGAATGAGTTATATTTTACGACCATCTAACAGCCTTGTAACAACCTCTTGCAGACTAGACCCCTTTAGTTCACGAGGAGCAAATCCAGCAACCAAAGGGACATTGTCAGATACTGCAATCCCACAGGATTGGCTACAAAGCTGAAGTCCTTTTGAAAGGGCATCAACCCTCGGGATGACCTCAAGCCAGTGCCACAAACGACACCAGATAAAACACACCTCCGGCATGTCAACATCTCACACACCCCACCAGGTTTCTGAAGCTTAAAAATTCCCAACAATGAAAATAAAGACACCAAAGCTGACAAACACAGGTTTGTCTAGGATTATTCATGTTTTATTTGTATGTATTTGCACTTACCCTCGATTTGCCTTCTGCGTCCATTAAGTGTTCCACGTACGTTACCTCACCCACTACAAATCAGATTCCAGAGACGACACACACCAAGGGGAGAGAAGCCGAGAGAACAATGGGGGTTTAGAGCAGACACAAAAGTAGGGTGGCCGGTGACAGTGAGCTCAGACTGCCAGTCCTGCGCCTTCCCCCAGCACCTCAGCAGCAGCACAATATGGTACAGGTCTACAAAAAGCAAGCTTGGGTCTTTTAAAAAAAAAAAAAAGTAAGACTTCTTAGCCTGTCCTTGTTGGAATTCCCGAAGCACCAGAAGCAATAGACTGAGGACAACAACTGTTGAGATGGCCATCAGCCTGCCTATTTGGATATAATGCCGTGAACACCACCTTCTACCTTAAGAAAATTAACCCAAAAATTTCTAGTAGGCAAAACCCATTCAATACCTCAGTCCATTTCATTGCAAACCTGTGCATACTTTGTGAAATGTCGCCATTTTAAACATCAGGCCGATGCATCCATTCACTCGCCCATCAACTGAGCCTATGAGGACACCTACAGCTTGAAAACTAACCATAATCCTAATGAATGCAAGCTCTTAGGTGAGAGAAACTTATCTAACTGCAAACCTGTTCTTAAAGAGGACCTGTTCCTTAAGCGCACAATCAGAATTTTGATTCAGCGTCGACCACAGCCACGCCTGCGTTCCAGATCACGTGTCTGTTCAACGAATGGACATCAGTGACCAAACCTCTAGAGACAAGGACAGTGCATAAGAAGTTGCTTCATTTTGTAGACCTGTACCCCAAAGAAATCCCCAACGCATAGCCGTGTTTGGCACAACATGGAGATCTGCTGAGAAAACATTTGCTTGTCAAGGTCACACCTAAAAGAGAAAATGCAATTTAACTCCAGTCAGTTGTAATACAACGAATACCAGGCTCTCCTTCTGAAAAAGGATTGTACCTTTCTTAACACATGCTTTAACTTCAAGAAAATGCCAATGAGATGCATTACTTAATACATCAAACACTTTCCAATACCCCATAACTACAAGTACTTTCACATGAGTAACAGCACATGTAAACCCATATTGCACATTTAAGATAACTTAAGGGTAATCCCTGCTGAAGGTTGCTGCATCACAAATGATATCATTTGACAGGTCTCCAAAATTTTTAATTATTTATAAATCATGAGAGCTCAGGTTTTTACCATTACTTAGATGTTACAACTGAGAGCAACTCGTCCCTTGTTTCTGGGCAAAGTCATTACATTGCGGCGATGTACTGTACGTTTTTTCATCATTTTTCAGGGAAAAGCATCTCAATATGCCACTCATGATACCAAGCCATTGGGTTTTCACAGTAATGGACGGCTTTAAACATGTACAACCCGCACTTCACAAAACCACAATAGGTTTTAGTAATCTCGATGGAGAATAAATGTTCAGTATAACATCCAGGTTCAAAGCACTTGTGCAAGTCTGCAGCAACTCCTTTGTTGACAGACAAATGAGAGGGACCTCGTCCAAAACCTTTGTTCCAGATATCTCCCACAAGATCAAGCAACATTGTACAACTTAAGGGTCTGCACAAATTCCCAAAAGCCCTTCAGAGCAGCAGAGGTCAACAAAATGACCCTGGATGCTGCATCTTTATTTAATCATGTCCAAAGTTGACTCAGTCTATCCCTTATCCATAAACCTTACCTTTTTCTTTCATCAGGTCTTTAAGAGCTTGCCATTTGACATCGTATGGTATGTTGCTGACAAACACGCGGTATCGTTTGTTCACGTTTCCATAGGGTTCATAGCGACCGCCTCCACCTCTCTTCTGGGGCCTCTCCTTCCTGCTGGAACTGGGCTCATGCTTGGCTTTCCCATTCACTTCTCTGTATAAAGACATAAGTTAACAATGATTAAATCAAATGCTTTTATAATCAAGCCCACATATGCAAAGAATTAAGCATGATTAGATTACCAGGCGTGAAATCAAAAGCTAGAAAAACAGCTTCTGGGGACATTTAACTGTAAGTAATTTTACTGCAGGCACATTTAGTGGTACCTGGCTGCTATTTGTTACAAGGTAAAATACTTAATACCATAACACAGGCTGCACCATTTGGACTTCCGCTCATTCATTGTTCTTCAGAAGGGCCAAAGCTTTTCATTAACTTTTTCTCAAAAAAGATTTAAATACTTGAGTTACAACTCAGTATTACACCTACTGATCCTACCAAAACGTGTTAAAAAGGTATTATGCAGAAACAATTTCAATGCACTAAGCTGTAATGGAAGTCTGCAACTGTTAGCCATCGACACACTCGCACTAAAGCCGCATGACCAGGCCGCTCTTTGGACGTAGTGGGCCTGAATTACAGCTACGTTAGTGAAATAACGTTATATTACTTTGTATATTTAGATATATATGCCTTCAAATGGAAAATAAAACACTTACTTATTTTACATTTAAAAAGTAGCTTTCTGAACTTAAGATACTCTATGTTCGGTAAAATGGGTGGGTTCTTCCGGTAAATAGACGGGTCCCAAACACACACCTCCAACAGAGGATAACCGCACAGCTTTATAACAAACTTTAAATGCACATTGGGCCTTCATCTATGATTGCCTCATAAGAATACAACTAATATAACATTTTCACGAGAGACTGGTCGAAGCACGACATTCATGGATCTAAATAATTGCGGCTAACTCTGTGATTAGCTATGTTGCAAGCGCCAACAAAGGAACCTCGATGAATGGACTTGCCCCGTCTGCTGCTGCTGCGGCGGAGGCGCCTGCTGGCCTGCTTTCTCGGTCACGTTCGTATTTTCGGTCTGCTCGGTAGACATCTTGTTGCGCAGTTATTATCTTGCTTAATCAAACTGTTATATTAGACTATCTTCGTTGATATTAACAAGCGAATCGTCTTCTTGGTAAAAAAAAAATGATAGCACGGACCACCTCTGCGACACCAGCCAGCGAAAATGGCGGAGAGAGAACAAGTGTGAGCAGGAACAACGAATGCTGGGAATTTTAAATCTAAGGATGACTTCCGGTGTGTCCTTTAAAAGTAAAAGTGGTCACGGCACAAAGAGGATTTTCAAATTAAAAGTGCTCGGAATGCAGACAGATAAATGCTAGAAGATTAAAGGGGAATACCAACAATATTAAGAATTCCAATATGTTATTTTGTGAGCTAACATGAGCTACTCTCTCTCTCAAAGCTAGAAAACAGAGAAGTAAGTTTCAGCTTGTGATGTCATAAAGTCTGAAGCTGAATGGGAGTATATAAATCTCAAAATGAGCTTTATTCTATTGTGGTGTTTCCAGTTCTCAAGCAGAAAATACCCATATACTCAAAACATTCCCCTGGGTGCTCCCAGTGTCATATAACATCTTTCCCACTTCATTATCTGTGATGCAGCTCCAGACTTTATGACTTACGACATCACACATTTGAGTTTTAGCACTCTAGTTCCTGGATTTGGGGAAGAGTTGTTTTTTTTCTAATATTAATGAACTGTCTGAGATCATAGGAATAATGTGTATGGGTTTTAAAAATGACTGTAGGTTCCTTTTAAAATTTGTATCAAATAAAAAATGCATTGTGTTTTGAGGTTGTTTTTTTTAAGTGCTATAAATGGCGTAAATGTCACAATTCACCGGCAGTCATTGTCATGTGCCTCCTTTTTGCTGTTTTGAAGCTCATGTGCACATTGTTTTGTAGAACTAGATGAATATATTTGACATTTTCAAGGTAAAACTTGGGCTTATTGTTTGAAATACAGGGTCAAAATAGTCATATTTAAGTTGGGAAAATAACCCCAGTGTAATATGGAAAACAATAACCCAATTTTAGATCAATTTTGACCCAGTGATTTTCAATATTGGCTTGGAGAGATGGTCTTCAGCCATAGCCTGTTTATGATGTGTACTGTATATAGACTTAATAGCTCAAAAGATCAGGGCAAAAAGCTACCTTTTGGGGTGCTGTATGATAGCCTGGTGAGGAATCACAACATACTAAGATTTACATCAGAGCACACAGTGACTTTTGATTCTCAACTTTTAGCACCTATTTTGTGCATATTTTGATTTTTACATAGCAGTCTCCGGAGAACAGTGCTTTACTGCACCTAATTGATACATACTGCTTGAACAGGGGTGTCACTTATCTTTCTCTGTCACCTGTCAGTTTAGATATTGAGAAAAAGTAGGATGATTTACCTGTAATGATGATGCTGACTGGCTAAAAAAAGGTCTTACATAAACCTTGATGTTATTCTGCTTTCCTTCAATTCTCTAAAACAAACAACCAAAAAAAATCTTAACAATTAACAACGAAAAAAACATGTTAAAAGAAATAACATTTTTGACTGTTTTATATCATATGGACAAACTGATATGAATCACTTTGTCTCTTCTCTCTTTTTCACATTCCTTTAGCTTTAACCTAAATATGTCTCCCATAAACTTCCTTGATATGAATAGCACTACTCTTCATAGACTAGTATGATACTGTACTACATATCAAAATGTGTTACTCGGTTCCTGTAACTGAAGCATAATTTGAAGATTTATATCAAACTGGACTTGCACCAATTTAATTTTCTATGCTTATTCCATGTTTTATAATGAAGAAGGTAAAACAAGACCCGTGATTTATCATTTAAAGGTTTTTAGAGTGATTGTTTTATGATTTTATGAACCACGCTGGTGTTTTTAGTCTCATTAAAAAAAGTATTCTTTTCAAGAAGGATATGTAATTTTTTTATTATGGAAAAATGACATGGACAGAAGTTATGTCTTTATTTTAAACCATCTCATGATATATAGTTAGTTTTTCATCCATAAATGTAAATGGTCTGAAAGGAAACCCAATATCCACCATTTCCACCATAGAAATCAAACTGTAATTTAAAACACTGAGGACTGACACAGAAAGCTATTAATGCATATAATATAATGTATATATGTCTATGTATTAATGTGGTCATGAAGAAGAAGAAGAAGAAGAAGAAGAAGAAGAAGAAGAAGAAGAAGCTGCAATGCACCGCCAGACCTCACGGGGGCGACAGTCGACTACAGATTAGATGACAGCGACTTCAGCCGGGGCGGAAGTAGCCTCGGTTTAGCCGTTAGCCACTCTTGCCACTCACCTAGCCTTAACAATAGCTTGTGAATATTCTTACTAACTGTCTGTGTAACTTTCATGTATATCAGAAACGTATAGGATAATATTACGAAAACAAATCTTACACAGTCGTTACTTGAATGTTTGCGGCTCTATGTAAAGTTAACGTAGCGTAGACATGACAACGTTAGCGTTAGCCTTTAGCTAGGAACGTATTCGTGAGATAACGTTACCGCTTCACTGAACGAGCGCCTGTGAATGAATGAACAGTATTTACGTCTGGCAGGCTGTTACAAGCGTTAATTTACAACATATAAAGTCATGGCTACTGGTGCTGATGTCAGGGATATTCTGGAGCTGGCCGGAGGAGAAAATGACGGTCCCATCAGCAAGAAAGACCTCATCAACTCAGACAAGGTGAGGGACAATAATAAGATACTCATAATGATTCCTGTCCCTGTATTCACAAGTCACCCGTGTTATTTTCCAATATGTCCCAATATGCCCCAATATGCAATGAGTTACACAGGCTGTGGGACACAATTAAGTTACACAAAACTGAAAATTTAATTTGTGTTGCCATCATGTGTCTGCGAGAATTATTAGTATTCTCGAGGTAAATAATTTCTCCATCACCTGTTTCAGAAAAAAAGCAAGAAGACAACAGAAACGCTGACCTTCAAGAGACCAGAGGGGATGCACCGAGAGGTCTATGCTCTGCTCTATTCGGATAAAAAGTATGGTCTCTTTTTGATTTTCTATTCAGTACATGTGCTGAATTACCCTTAAGGGTTTGACTCAAGTCCTGTGTGTTGTAACTGCTTTACTTACTCATGCAGCTGGTAAGATTAACGAGTAAAGGGAGATGTGGTAATGGCTTCTTCATCTGTGTAGATTAAGTGTTCAACATAAATTCAGAAAAGGAAGAGAAAAAATGATACTAATTGCCATTATGTTTCAGCTTCTTTTGTACAATGCCTCTCCTAGGAATTTTCAAAGCTAACAATCTGCTTTATATTGTGTAGCCCTGCTTTTGGGCTCCCTGACACACTTGTCATACTGCAAACATGCTTATTTATGTATTTTTGTCCTGTATCTGTATGTGCTGGATATCCAAATTGAGCTGGTTAGGTAACAAAATCGATAAAGGAGATTTTCACATATTTTGCTTTAACAAGGCTTGTTTTCCCTGTGAATCCCCAGAGATGCACCCCCTTTGCTGCCTAGCGATACTACTCAGGGCTACAGGACAGTCAAAGCCAAGCTGGGCTGTAAAAAGGTGCGTCCCTGGAAGTGGATGCCCTTCACCAACCCAGCTCGCAGGGATGGGGCTATATTCCACCACTGGAGACGTGTGGCAGAGGAGGGCAAGGACTACCCTTTTGCTCGCTTCAACAAAGTAGGGATCACTGCATTCTCCTCTTTAGTCTGACCACTTATTAAATACAAACTTAAAAGGACTGTTTTTTACAGCTACCAATCTTCTGTCATCTCCCCCACTTTCAAATATATACCACATGTATACATAACTGAATTACTCTTTCAGTCACTCATCCTGATTCACTGTATTCTCTCTGTTCTGCCTCCCTTTATAGACAGTGCAGGTACCAGTGTACTCTGAGCAGGAGTATCAGATACATCTCCATGACGATGGCTGGACTAAAGCAGAGACAGATCACCTGTTTGACCTGTGCAAGCGCTTTGATCTGCGCTTTGTTGTCGTCCATGACCGTTACGACCACCAGCAATACAGAGTAATTACTCAGTCACTCATCTACAGTATTCACATTCCCTTTCACTGAGGGTATTTGCAAAAAATCTTAAGGCTATAAGGTAAGGAACATATATGTGATGACATTCTCCCATTTATGCTTTTCAGAAACGTTCTGTGGAGGACCTGAAAGAAAGGTATTATAGTATTTGTGGTAAGCTGACCAAAGTCCGCGCAGCTACAGGGACAGAACCCAAGATCTACATCTTTGATGCCGGCCATGAAAGACGTCGTAAAGAGCAACTGGACAAGCTCTTCAATCGCACACCTGAACAAGTGCGTCATTTTCTAGATTGATTTTGACTCTTGTGCTGTTGTTAAGCTTTCATAACTTAAATATTGCAGATATTAATGCAGTAAGTGTGGAAAAACAACAAGAAGATATTGCCAAAGCTTGTGAGATGCCTGTCCTTTAAATATTAAGATCGCACTTCTCTTGTATTTCCTGCAGGTGGCAGAAGAGGAATATCTTATTCAGGAGCTAAGGAAGATTGAGACGAGAAAGAAGGAGCGCGAGAAGAAGACTCAGGATCTGCAGAAACTCATTAAAGCAGCTGACACAACCACAGAGTTAAGACGAGCTGAAAAGAGAGTTTCCAAGAAGAAGCTCCCACAAAAAAGAGAAACAGAAAAACCGGTACGATGTGGACTCATACAAAAAGAGCGAAGTAAAACGCAAGCCAATCGTTTGTGCTTGAGAAATGTTCACCAGTAAATTGGAGCGTCCTTTTATTATTGAGATGGCACAGCTGTCAACCTCATTATAGTGCCTATTCAAAGCAGTAGTACACTGAAGTAATGAAGATTTGGCTCAGTCTCAATATTTTGTGTTAAACATCTTATATTCTTTTGATGGAACAGCTTTTTCCTAAAGAAACTGAAGGCGCTCAGTTTGTGAAATTAAGGCCTGATTTATCCCACAATAATAATATGAATATTTTTCCATGTAAAGTCTGTCTAATGTTTAGAGGGAGTGTCATATCTTGTCTCTTATCAGTGATTTCCTTTTGTTCAGGCTGTTCCAGAGACAGCAGGCATCAAGTTCCCTGACTTCAAATCAGCGGGAGTCACACTGCGCAGTCAGAGGGTGAGTATAGCTGGATCCTGTTGAGGTAT